GGCTCCCCCAAAGCACCCGTAGCACCCAGGCATGGAGAGGAGCACCCAACTCCCCCTGACCCGCCCCTGGGATACCCCTGGAACCCTGTGTGTGATGCCACCTCGCCGGGGCATGGCTTTACCCCCACGGGGGACCTCAGGAATCAGCCCAGAGCCCAGAGGTTGCCACCCCATCACCTCCACGGGCAAGAAACAACCTCCCAGGGTCAGCAGAGGGACGGCATGCTCCCCGGGGCTGGACCTCTGGAGATGCTTTGTAGACCTTAGCCAAGCCCCAAACCTGAAAGCCCCTGGGGACACCCACCCCACGGAGCCAGCACCCCCCAGCTGCCCAGCCTGGCTCTTCAGGCCCTGGCCACCCTCCTCGCTGGGGAAGAAGCTGGGAGGAAAGGTGTGGAGAACTATCGCATCCCAGTGCCTGCCCACCTCCCCTGACCCCCCTACCTCTCCTTTGCAGTGTTCAAGAAAGTCGACTCCATCTCCAAGGACATCAGCTCAGCCCAGACCCATTACGAGAAGAAGCTCGTATCCATCCAGGAGGACATCCAGGGGCTGGGTGAGTGGCTTGGACCTGGACCTGGAGGTCTTCTCCAGGCTTCGGCACCACGTGTCCCTCCAGCTGAGCGGACCTCAGCTGCTCGGTGCTGCCAGCCAGGGGCTGAAGCATCTCCACTTTCCAGGTGCTGGGGCTCCCCCAGAGCCAAACCCCCACTTATCTCCCAGGATTTCGGGGAGGGACGACTGTACGACACCAAGAGTGGGGTTGGTGGGCTTGGGCTTTTCGGAGAACTTGCTGCACAGAGGTGGCAGGAGCGGGATGAGGGCCGGAGCTGGTGCAGGCTGGTGACATTGGGGTTGTCCCAGTTGTGGCTCGGTGGTGCCCATCTCCAGGGTCTGCAAGGACAGAGCATGGTGAGGCTCCTTCCTCCGCTCTGGTCCTCAGCAGGAGGGTCTCCAGGCCCAGCGAGGGACGGGTTGGGGTAACAGACCCCATCTGCCCTTCGTTCAGATGAGAAGACCTCGGGGAACTGCTCCCTCTGCCACGAGATGGGACAGCTGGGCCAGGAGATCACCAAGCTGCAGGGCGAGCTGGAGGAGATCCAGAAGATGCTTTTGGTTCAAGAAATCCTGCTCGACCGGACCTCCCAGACCCACGACCAGCTCTCATCCGCCGGCAACAAGATCAGCAGCGAGGTGGACAACTGCTCCTTCTCCATCCGACAGGTCAACGAAAGCTTGGGGCAGTTCCTGGCCCAGGTTGGGGGCTGGCAGGTGGTCACCTCCCAGCTTGACAACTCTCTCAAGGGCTTGGCCCAGGAGCGCTACGATGTCCGAGCAGCCGTGCAGCAGATGAACTTCACCCTGGGGCAAACCTCCGACTGGATCCAGGTCATCCAGAGGAAGACGGACGAGGAGACGCTGACGCTGCAGAAGATCGTCACCGAGTGGCAGAACTACACTCGCCTCTTCGGTGGGCTGCGGGCCACCTCCTCCAAGACCAGCGAGCTGGTGAAGAGCATCCAAAGCAGCGTTGGCGCAGTGGCTCGGCAGGTCGGCCAGAACTCGGAGAGCATGCACGACCTGGTGCTGCAGGTGATGGGGCTGCAGCTGCAGCTGGACAACATCTCCTCCTTCCTGGATGACCACGAGGAGAACATGAACGACTTGCGTTACCACAACAGGTACACGCAGAACCGCACGGCCGAGCGCTTCGAGACCTTGGAAGGTCGCATGACCTCCCACGAGATCGAGATCAGCACCATCTTCGCCAACATCAATGCCACCGACAGCCACGTCCACAGCATGCTGCGCTACCTGGATGACGTGCGGCTCTCCTGCACCCTGGGCTTCCACACCCACGCCGAGGAGCTCTACTACCTGAACAAGTCCCTCAGCCTGGTCCAGGGCACCACGGACCTGCTGCGGGAGCGTTACAGCCTGCTCAGCGCCCGGCTGGACTTTGACATCCGCAACCTGTCCATGGTGATGGAGGAGATGAAGGTGGTGGATGTCCGGCATGGGGAGATGCTGAAAAACATCACCATCTTACGAGGTGAGGTGCATCCTGGTGGGCACAGCCTGAGGACAGGTCGGGGCCAAGTGTGTTGGGCAGGCAGTTTTGGGGGGCTGTTTCTTCTGTGGCTGATCATGGTGGGATCTGGGCTCTTTGGAAGTGTCCTGCACCCAAGGCAGGCGGTGGAAGACCCAAGCCACCATTGCTGAGGCCATGGCAGTGCTGGGATGTGCACGAGGGCACCCAGACACTTGCCCATGGATGCGGAGATGTCCTGGGGATGCAGCTGCGTGGACTCGACTTGCAGAGCTGTCCCTGCGTGGGGGGACAGGGACGGCGAGGAGGTGACCCATGGCCTTCCAGCACGGCTGGCCTGCACACTGGTGCCAGTGACCCCCCTCTCACTGGTCCTGGGGGAGAGGGTATGGCTGCCCCGGACGAGGGTGCCCAAAGCTTCCCCCCATGCCTTGAGTGGCCT